CTTCACCAAGCACAGCGTTCATTTATAGGCATCCGTTTGCCATCTAGAGCCATACTGAGATCCTTATATCCATGCGAATCTGTTGTGTTTACAAAACCTGTTTTTCGGTGAGTGGAGCATAATATCACTCAGTGGCTGGACGGACCCAGGAAATGTTCAGAGGAACATAGAAACTTAAAAGAAATTCTAATTTTTAGTCAACGTGGCGCTAGTGAGAAAGTCTGGTGGTTGAGTATTGTGCCTAAGATTTTCGTTTCCCAACGGTGCAAAGTAAAACACCCACGATCAATCGCAGATATCAAGTGTATATTGTTTGCTACACCATGATGCATCTGCCCGCGTCGTGAAGCTGCGCGACCGGGGCTGGAGCGTATGGTTTGTTTAGCTGCAGTTGCGTCTGAAAGTTTGTGCCAGACGGTCATTCCGTGCGTTTCAGCGCTTTCAGACAGCGGTGTACTGTTCGTTTCTCTCACGCACCTTCTACTCAGTGCTACTGAACTTCAACATGCTAACAGCAGAGGAACTCTACTGCTTTAGGGCTTCAGGCTATTAGTAAAGGAACTTCTTTTCCTTTCACTTTCAGGAGCAAATCGCAAATCACAGTTCCAGGCTTAAATCTCTTAGCCATAATTCTAGGCCGGAGGACAGCTTCTGACCTTTTGTATACTTCCAATGTATCATTATTCGGCTAGTAAAACGAATATTCGAGGGTACGATACTTAGTTAGCTGTCTGCCCGAACATGCTGTTAAGCAGTTCTCACGGTGCCCATCTGTTTATATGCTTCTATGCAGTGCTTCATTGTTGTGCTGTACTTGGAAAATAAAATTGTTGTCAGAAGATCGAAAATATTTGGCCGTTTGGTGGGGTCTTGGAACAGATATTTATTAGCAACCGTTCTTGGGTTCAGTCGTTATTGTCAATTGTCATTGGCAGTAAATATATTCTGATTCCTTGAATCTGTTCAGTGCAATTTTTTTACGAAATGTTTTAGTTATGAAGTTTCACGTGCGTAAAAATAATGATAACAGTGTAACGGGATAGCTTATAGCTTTCCCGATACTTCATACAGGTGTACGGTTTGCCGTCGAATGCGGATTGGGAGGTAGATGTCGATATTATGAGAATTACATGACAGGCTGATACAACTTTCTTTCCAGGATTACGTAAATATCGGCGACTAAAAATGTGGAAAACTAGTTGACTTTGTTTCAAAAGGGGTGAAAGATTAGTTGCACTTCTTAGCCCGCAAATGTTTCTCGTGATAACTGAAACGCTGCAGACGATGACAACCAGACAAGCGTATAGAATTGGTGAAGTTCGAGGCAGATCTGCTTTCAGTGATGTATTGTCCTCTGATTCAGTGCTGCAGGTGCTTAAAAATGATTGGAAGAACGCATAGGAGCGCAGCGAACGCCAAGAAGCAGTGTAACGATAATCCCCAGTTGAAGCTTTTATGTGGATGTACAGTTCAAGGTTTCAGTAATGCTTTACCAGATGATTCCGAATGACGCTTCTCTATGAACTGTCTCCAATATTTCGAGTCATACTGGATCCGTTGTCAGCGAGCGACATCAGAGTAAGCTAGATAATGCCTAGATAATGCTATGGACACTGTAGCATTATTTTGCATTGTTTGATGTTGCTCCTGACGACGAATTGAGTTAGTTGAGATTCTGTACATAATAATATTGTGACAAGGTGTCATCAGTTGAAAGATTTTTTGGCTTTGAACAAATGCATTGGTAAATAAATGTGTCTCTGTCCAGTCAGTCACATATGTATTACTTTTTAGTGACAAACTTCTTCTCTAGAAATATCAGGAATTACAATGTAATCATGTTTCGTCAGAGCCATTAGTTTAAGCTTGTAAATATGTGATTAAAACGTACTGTACAGAACTCTGTACTCTGTAGAGTCTGCTTCATGCCTTATTATTGCAATGACCTGCTTTGAAGTTGTTTGTTATTTTATTTTCCGTGTAGATTGAAATCTTACTCAGATGTTTCTTGCACCTATGTTAAGTACCATTGGCTTTGTATATTGCATGATTTAGTCGGCGCATAGTTGTTTGAAAATGCACAAATTCACTTTTTTAAATGATTAATCTACTGTCTTCGTGTTTTTTACGGGTTATCACTTTATTTAGCAGATTTTTAACATTTTGAATCATCCTTGATTCTTTGTTTTTGTACTGTAATAAATGGCAATTGGGTGATTAATTGACGTGGAACTCACTTATTTGCTCTTGTGGTTCGATTACTTGATACCCTGGGATCACTGAATTGAGTAGACTGAAATGCTGTCGATTCATTTCCGTACAAATTGCACGACAGTGAAAAGACGCTGTTTTAAGACAAAATCTTCATCTTCATCATTTAAGGCAAAATTCTTCATCTGACCTGCGGTGCGTGTAGCACCTTGGTTTGATCGAATCACACCGTGTAACTCGTTTATAGGCAAGTATGAACCAAGTGTCGTTCTAATTCGCTATCGATAAATATACCGATTGGCTGTTGTTAAAACATGACTGATACAGCGTAGTATAAACGGCCATCTGAGGTAGACCAGATACCTCAATAAATATTCTTTCTGCCCCGGTCCTCCTTCACAGCTGCATATCTTGTGCTTAGTTCATAAACAGTTTGGTTTTCACAATGCCAATCCAAATTCTCTGTTCAGGTAAAGCCGGGTTACAGTTGCAGATCAAATTTAGCTATAAAAGACATTGGCAGTAATCAGAGCGAATTCCACTGCTGCCGTCCCAAGCCGATGTTAAAAACAAGAAGCGCAGGGTACCATGTCATGGTCTCCCGTAAAACTTAGTCACCTGCCTCACTGTATTGCCTTATCGAACATTATCCCGGCTCGGACGACGCCAGGAATACCAAGGGTGACACAGGCTGTTAAAAAATAAGGCTGGTTTGCGAAAAGTTGGCGATCAGAACAGGTTTCACGCCTTGTGGCACCTCGGGGTAAAAGATAAACAAGAAGACGACGACGAGACACAAGTCAGCAACGGAGCCACTACCCATTACGAACACACGAGGCAGACAGCTCAGTGTCATTATAACACGTTAGTTGAAGCTCCAAGGCAAAGATATCGACAGTCGGGAAA